AACCACTCCATCCATCCCTCCATCCAGCTCCCTCCCTCTCAAACACCTTCCATCCACACGCACCAAGCTCCTGCCCTCCCTCCTTCCAAACCCCTCCATCCAGCCAGGCCCCCTCCATCCATCCAGTCAGGCCCCTCCATCCAGTCTCCATCCAGCCAGGTGCCCTCCATCCAGCCAGGCCCCCCTCCATCCAGCCCCCTCCATCCAGCCAGGCCCCTAGCCAGGGCCCCCTCCATCCAGACCCCCTCCATCCAACCAGGCCCCTCCATCCAGCCAGCCACCTCCAGCCAGGCCCCCTCCATCCAGCCCCAAACCCCCTCCATCCAGCCAGGCGCCCTCCATCCCATCCAGCCAGGCAGCCTCCAAGCGCTTGTCCAACGCCCCCCCCCCCCCTAGCAGGCACCTGCTCCATCCAACCATCCAAGCCAACCGCCCTCCATCCAAGCGCTCAGGCACCGCCTGCAGGCACCCAGCCAGACCCCCTCCATCCAGGCTCCCTTCCATCCACCCTTCGTCCAACTTGCGGTTCCAGCGCGGCCTTCCAAATTTTTTTCAACATTATACCCTAAACCTAACACCCTAGAGAGGTATTGTAGGAGAGTACAAGCCAGTTTCATCAAAGGGATAGGGGTTTGGAAAAGGGCAGGGGTTTGGAAAAGGGCTCAGCACCATGAAATTAGGGCACCTTGAATATCCTAAACCCGAGAAACCTAAGAGCCTAAACCCTATAAACCCGAGCTGCCAACCAGCAGCCCGCCGATGGAAGGAGGAAGGATCTCTGCAGCCAAGTGGCTGGACTAGGGTTGGATGGAGGGGAGTGGGTGGCTGGATTGTGGCGTGGGGGTTGGGTTGGGTGGGTGGGTTTGTTGTGGGGTGGAGCGGGGTGTGGGTCTTGGGTTTGGGGTCGTTGGGGGGTGGANNGGAGGGCGTGGATGGAGGGAGTTGGTGGATGGAGGGTTGGTTGGGCTGGTGGTGTCGGAGGGCGTGGATGGAGGGAGGTTGGTGGATGGAGTGTGAATGGAGGGTGGAGGGCTGGTGGCGGAGGGCGTGGATGGAGGGAGGTTGGTGGATGGAGGCTGGATGGAGGGTGGATGGAGGGTGGAGGGCTGGTGTGTGGATGGAGGGAGGTTGGTGGATGGAGGCTGGATGGAGGGGTGGATGGAGGGTGGAGGGCTGGTGGTGGATGGAGGGAGGTTGGTGGATGGAGGGTTGGTTGGGCTGGTGGATGGATGCTGGATGGAGGGGTGGATGGAGGGTGCAGGCAGGGCGTGGATGGAGGCAGGTTGGTGGATGGAGGTGGGCTGGTGGATGGAGGCTGGATGGAGGGGTGGATGGAGGGTGGTGGCGAGGGCGTGGATGGAGGGGTGGCTGGATGGCTGGATGGAGGGCTGGATGGAGGGGCGCTGGGGTGTGGATGGAGGCTTGGTTGGGCTGGTGGTGGATGGAGGGCTGGATGGAGGGGCTGGTGTGGATGGAGTGGTGGGGGAAGGAGGGCTGGATGGAGAGGTTGTTGGTGGATGGAGGGTTGGATGGAGGGGGTGGCTGTGGCTGGAGGGCTGGATGGAGGGTTGAGGAGGGCTGGTGGATGGAGGGTTGGATGGAGGGGGGTCTGGAAT